TAAAACAGTTAAATGCAAATGTTTAATGATCGGTACCGGGTTCGTTACAACAATGACCAGAGCTTTGCCCCTTGGTGTTACGAACTAACTTGAACAAGGAAACACTCTACCTTATATACCTCTATTACCCTCTTCCTGGCATACATCTGGCAAGTCTCCATGGGCACTCCTGACTTTGATGTTCATCACTCTTACCCCAGTCACTATCCTGCCCATCACTCATGCTATCCTAAACATCAGTAATCTCCTTTGACACAATGGAATGTAGACTTTCTGTCTCCTAACCACTTATCTAGTAACTCTAACCTGTCCCCCACGATACTATGACATAACATTATTACAGCCACAAAGTGGTAGGCCACACAAGCTCACAGAAAGGGACCGCCGAGTGCTGAGCGCGTAGCGCGTAAAAATAATCTGTTGCAACACTCCCTTCCGAGTTCCAATTGCTTCTGGAAACAACGTCAGCAGAAGAACTGTTAGTCGGGAGCTTCATTAATGGGTTTCCATGGCCGAGCAGCCGCACACAAGCCTAAGATCACCACGTGCAATGCCAAGCGTGCGGCTGGATTGGTGTAAAGCTCGCCGAAATGGAGTCTGGAGCAGTGGAAAACGCATTCTCTGGAGTGATGAATCACGCTTCACCATCTGGCAGTCGACGGACAACTAGGCCCCTTAGTTTCAGTTAAGAGAAATCTTAACGCTACAGCATACAATGACATTCTAGACGAGTCTGTGCTTCCAACTTTGAGGCAACAGTTTGGGGAAGGCCCTTTCCTGTTTCAGCATGACAATGCCCACGTGCACAAAGCGAGGTTCATACAGAAATTTTGTTGAGATCGGTGTGTAAGAACTTGACTGGCCTGCACAGAGCCCGACCTCAACCCCCTCGAACACCTTTAGGATGAATTGGAACGCCGACTGGGAGCCAGGCCTAACGCAAAAACATCAGTGGCCGACCTCACTAATGCTCTTGTGGCTGAATGGAAGCAAGTCCCCGGGATGCAATGATCCAACATCTAGTGGAAAGACTTCGCAGAAGAGTGGAGGCTGTTATAGCAGCAAAGGGGGAACCAACTCCATATTTTTGCCCATAATTTTGGAATGTGATGTTCAACGAGCAGGTGTCCACATTACTTTTGGTCATGTAGTGTACATGCAATAAGACAGCCATGAGTGTGCACACTAAAACCCCGAGCATTCAGGTGATGTGGATGTTTTACTAAACTGGAGCATTCATATAGAGCATTATATGATGTCTCACTGGGCTTGAATCAACGTTGTCTCAACTTCAACGTATTGTGACATGGAATCAACGTGGAAAATACATTGGATTTGAAAAAAGTAATTGTCTTTTATATACTTTATATTATTCATAATATAAACCCTATATATAGACGGGTTGGTTGTTTAGAAAACAAACCGAAGCGTGCGCAACTATGGGGCAAAATAGATTGGGTTTGATTCGATTGTTGACCAGATGTAAACTATTTTTCCTCTTCAATGTTTATTAAAAACATAAATGAAGTTGTACAATGAGCACTTTTTTCTTTCAAATACATCATTACAGTTGTTGGTTAACTAGCTAGCAATTTTTTTGCCTATTAGCATCACTCAAACACCTCAAAACAAGACATGTATCAAAAACCAGGTAAAACTAGCTGAAACAAGCTACTTACGATTCCCCACATGGCAGTTTCTTGTCATTGTTGCTAGCTATCCTGGCCATCCAGAATCACAACAAACACACGGCCTACTGCTCCTTTGAGGCGTGCACATCATTTATGTGATGATCTCAGCTAACCCATCTATACTATCAAAGCAGAAGATACTGTATGTGTGATAAATGCGTGTTGTTTTGCTCTATAACCCCTTTAGTTCATGTGCCTTGCGACCGTGATATATAGGCCTAAGGCCGAGACAATAAGAAGACACAGTGGTAGAATAATTCAATCACACCTTTTTTTCATCACAAAAACCGGAGAGCAACCTCTGTCTGGTGAAGTCCACAAAGCATATTGCACGTACAAAACAGCAAGTTAATGTTTCCAAAATGTTCGGACTACTATACAGCTCTTTATTTAGAACCACAGAGAGATACCACAAGCCGCAAAGAAGACAGGAGCTGCCTCCACTATTCTAGCACCATTTCAACTTCAAACATCATTTTTTTTGGTCATTTAGCAGACGCTCTTATCCAGAGCGACTTACAGTTAGTAAGTGCATACATTTATTTCATTTTCATCATCAAATCACCTATGCTTAGTCTAATACAGTGACAACTAAAATATCCAAAAACGATTTAGTCTAATCAATGTGAGCTAAATATGATGTGCTGTCCATGTTTCTGATTTCTGTGTGTGTGTGTGTGTGTGTGCAATCGAAAAGAACATGTTGACTCCCCCTACTTCAGAGAACCGCGAATGCTATCCTCCTCTCTTTCTTTTGTTGATGAACAGTCTATGACTCGGTCATACAGTACACACTTTTAATTTTGTTGTCCTAGGCTACCTGGATAAAATGCTTGCTCGCTACCTAACTTCCTTTCATGGGCACAATGCGGCAGGCCAGCTGGGTTAACATTAGCCTACTACATCTAGCTACATGTTGAACTTCCATCCTCTCAGGCCAGGGGCACAATGTATGTTTTTTTGGGTTGGATCAGAATCACCTTTAAAATCTTTGGCCAGTATGGAAATTGAGTGAAAGTCCAAATCCCTACTCCATCCATGGCTAATTGGGAAAGGGCCAATTTTGCTAGCTAGCTAGCCACCGGAGGACAACTACACAACGAGACGCAAAAATTCAAGTTTTTTTTCTGTCAATGAGTTTTGTTCTCGAGTCATGTGATTGGAGTGAAGCCAAATCCAAACTGGTTCCTTGACACTATTTTTTGGGGGCGAAAGGACCATTCACGTTGAGCTCACTCAATTTGGGCTATTATTTTATACTGCTGTGTGTACAGTGGGGAAAAAAATATTTAGTCAGCCACCAATTGTGCAAGTTCTCCCATTTAAAAGATGAGAGCCTGTAATTTTCATCATGGTACACTCAACTATGACAGACAAAAATTTAGATTTTTTTTTCCAGAATCACATTGTAGGATTTTTAACTACATTATTTGCAAATTATGTTGGAAAAAAGATTTGGTCAATAACAAAAGTGTATCAATACTTTGTTATATCCCCTTGTTGGCAATGAACACAGGTCAAACGTTTCTGTAAGTCTTCACAAGGTTTTTCACACTTTTTGCTGGTTTTGGCCCATTCCCTCCATGCAGATCTCCTCTAGAGCGTGATTTTTTTGGGGATGTCGTGGCAACACGGCTTTCAACTCCCTCCAAAGATTTTCTATGGGGGTTTTGAGATCTGGAGACTGGCTAGGCCACTCCAGGACCTTGAAATGCTTCTTACGAAGCCACCCCTTCTTTTGCCGGGCGGTGTGTTTGGGATCATTGTCATGCTGAAAGACCCACCACGTTTCATCTTCAATGCCCTTGCTGATGGAAGAAGGTTTTCACTCAAAATCTCATGATACATGGCCCCTTTTTCATTCTTTCCTTTACACGGATCAGTCGTCCTGGTCCCTTTTGCAGAAAAAACAGCCCCAAAGCAGGATGTTTTCCACCCCATGCTTCACAGTAGGTATGGTGTTTTTTGGGAGCAACTCAGCATTCTTTGTCCTCCAAACACGACGAGTTGAGGTTTTTACCAAAAAGTTATATTTTGGTTTCATCTGACCATATGACATTCTCACAATCCTCTTCTGGATCATCCAAATGCACTTAGCAAACTTCAGACGGGCCTGGACATGTACTGGCTTAAGCGGGGGGACACGTCTTGCACTGCAGGTTTTGAGCCCCTGGGGGCGTAGTGTGTTACTGATGGTAGGTTTTGTTTACTTTGGTCCCAGCTCTGCAGGTCATTCACTAGGTCCCCCCGTGTGGTTCTGGGATTTTTGCTCACAGTTCTTTTTGATCATTTTGACCCCACGGGGTGAGATCTTGCGTGGAGCCCCAGATCAGGGAGATTATCAGTGGTCTTGTACGTCTTCCATTTCCTAATAATTGCTCCCACAGTTGATTTCTTCAAAACCAAGCTGCTTACCTATTGCAGATTCAGTTTGGAGTTTTGACTGTTTGAGGTTGTGGCAGGTATTTTTTAATACTGATAATAAGTTCAAACAGGGCCATTAATACGGTAACGAGTGGAGGACAGAGGAGCCTCTTAAAGAAGAAGTTACAGGTCTGTGAGAGCCAGAAATCTTGTTGTTTGTGGGTGACCAATACTTATTTCCCCATAATTTGCAAATAAATTCATAAAAAAATCCTACAATGTGATCTTCTGGATTTTTTTCCTCAATTTGTCTGTCATGTTCACGTGTACCTATGATAAAAATTTACAGGCCTCTCTTCATCTTTTTAAGTGGGAGAACTTGCACAATTGGTGGCTGACTAAATCTTTTTCCCCACTGTATGTGCGTTTCAGAGACTGGGTGGTTAAAAAAAAATAATCTCTGTGGGATGTTTTTCTTGAATTTTTTGGTTTATGAGGAATTTCAACATTTGTATTGTACTGTATCTATTCACAGCCCCATCCCCAAAGATGTGGATGTGTATTTCAACACCTTTTTTAACTTAAAGGTGTTTTCCACATTTTTTCACTCCCCTTTTACATTGTCATGTGCCAGTAGCAATATAGGCTCCTGTTTTGTGGATTCTATTTTTTTTTTTGTATTACTAAACCCCAGTAAAATAATACCGTATTGTATCACCCGGAGTATTTTCACCTGCCATTTGATGAGGAGTCAGTAAATAAAGGGGAAAAGATACAGATATTCAAATAGAATAGAGAGAATATAGTTAAATGGTTTTTGGTTTGTAGAAGTATCGCTACACGAAGGTGTAATGAAAAAAAACTTAGCCTCAAGGTAATATATATTTCAGGGTAAGAATGAAAAGTCTTAAAACCATGGTAAAGCATAGGAAAAATACAACAAGATAAAGCAGGAAAAATATTTTTTATTTAAATGCTTCTATTCTAAACTAAAATGCAAATCTCAACTAAATGAATCTCAATCATTGTCCACAGAAATCATTTTTACCCAAAACCTTTTTTAGCACCACAGTAACACTTAAAAGCGTAGCATTAATGATGCTAATGGCCCCCAGGAAGAATAGCTGCTTTTTTTTCAACAGCTAATGGGGTCCAAATTAAAATCATAAATCATAAATTCACACCCTCACTCTTCACAACACGCTCAAGGCCACACACAGCACATGCAGCTTTCGTCGAAGATGTGCCGCTGCCACATTTTCCCGGGCTAGTGATGCCACCAGCGCACATGTAGAAGGAGTTGTTGTCCTCTGGGTTGGCGTAGATGCCATCAGCTTGCCGTTGCAAAGCCGGTCCCAGGGGTGGGGTGGGGGGGGGCGTGTTTGGGGGTTGTGGGGTGTGTTTTAGTGGTGGGGTTTTGTGGTGGTGACTGAGCCAGGTTTGGGGGTGGGGGTAGGGGCAGAGGGGGCAAACTCTGGATGGGAGGAAATAGAAAGGAGAGAGGACTTTACCATGAGAGACAGAGCTGAGGTATGAAACAGGTGATGAAAAATCTGGACATTATTTAATCTGCTGCATTTATCATGTGGCACCCTTCACACCAGTGGATAATCTGGTCCAGTAGTTGGTTTACTTCAGATTACATTTTAGTTTAGTTTTGGAATATAAGTTTCTTTCTTCCCTTTACTGAAACATCAGACTTACCGATGTCAAGAAGGTTGCCGGGAGATGTCCCAGCAGAGGGGGGTTTTCCCTCGTTGCAGAACTGGTTGGCGAAGCATCAAGATCCAGGGCCCAGACGAAGGCACCGCCAAACTTGTTTTCCTTCATGTAGCGGACCCTGTTCGATCGAATGAGAACAGAGAAACGGTAGCGAGACAAAGACAGAGAGAGAAGGGTATATGTTTAGAGGCTATGTCACCCAAGTTTTCACAAACCTTAAGTATCGTCCCATATACTTTGTTGACTACTTTAATGACTGGGCAAGAATGTCTTCTTATCTAAATTAGTATCATGGTAAATGTTGAGTTGAAAATGACCTTGGTCTCGTAGCTCTGCCTGTTGTCAAAGCCAACCCACTCATTGCCCTTGTAGGCGTAAGGAACCATCTGGTCTGCAATCATCTCAACTGTTGTGCCCTTCACAAATGTGCAGATCTGAACAAACACATGAAACGGGAGATTTTATACAGCATTCTTGGAATAACAATGAAAAACAAATATCTAACTTTGCTTAACATTTTGATCCTGAGTGTTTCAATATTTTGGCCCCCAGCTCTCACCTCATAGTAGGCCCAGAAGCCAGCCTCGCGGGTGTAGGGCCCGGCGGAGGCGGGGCCACTAGCTGGTGCTCCAACACTGCTGTCAGATGATGTCAGGCGGAAGGTACGACCATAGGAGGCGAAGCCCATGTTCAGCTTCTCCACTGGGGGTGCCATTGTCTCTCCAGTACTTCATGGCGTAGTCCTGAGAGAGAAAGAAGGGGTGGAGGGATAGAGTGGGGGATGGGGAGAGAGGTGAGAAATATAGCACTTCAGCAGTGCTAGGGCATTTATTGTGGTAGAACAGGGATGAGCAACTTTGATGGGGGTGGGGAACACAAAAAAAACCGAAATCATCATGAGGGGCAGCAGTGGCTCGTAAGTCTGCGTACCCACGTCTTTATGAAGATGGTTGGAATGAGAAGGGTTTTAAACGTACTACTTTCTTCCTTCTACAGGTTTAGTCACTCCAAAAGTATCATTATACACACTGATAAACATTCTGTCAGTCTGTGTGGAATCTTTCCTTACGTGTTGAAGAAGATAAGGTCTCCCTTGTCATGAGCTCCTTGGTAGAGTGGGCTGTTGTGTCCAGTGAATCGCTCCCAAGTTCCGTGGAAGTCGTAGGTCATCACGTTGATGAAGTCTAGAGACCTGGAGACACACACACACACAAGTTGACACACAAACTATAACTATTGAGAACAGAAATCGCACCTGGAAGCTGTTTCTAAAGCTAAAGAGCTTACTATTTAAACTGATGGACCTCTCTGCAGGAAACATTCATATTCAAAATGGCCGCTAGACTCACTTGGCGATCTCGGCAATCTCATATCCAGAGTCGATGGTTCCCTTTCCAGCGGACACGGCAGCGGTTAGCATGAGCTGGGCATAGCCGGTGGACTTGGCCTCAGCTGCGTAGGCAGCCACAAGCTCCTGTAAAACGTACACACACAAAGCATCATGGGTCAGAAAGGGTTGGAGATACACAGTAAAGATGTATTATGGGAAACCATACGAGCTTGGGAAAATATATTAGTAGTTTGCCCCCAGTATTTTGTAATGCCTTTTGAATGCTTGGAATAGCACTATATAAATCCAAACCATTATCTACATTGTTTCCATTGACTAATAAGTGTAGTGGAGGAGCCACATTCACCTGGCAGAGCAGAGTGAACCTCTTCTTGTCCTCTGGGGGGCTCCCTCGGGATCCAGGGTACTCCCAGTCCAGGTCCAGCCCGTCAAAGCCATGAGTCCTCAGGAAGCTGATGGACGACTGGATGAATGTCTTACGGTTGGCAGCATGCTCACCATGATGGAGAACCTGAGGTGAGGAAGAAAGTTTTATCATAAGGCTGTATTACAATACACCATATGGTTTCTAAATACTACCTACTACTGTACTACTTCCACAGATACACTACTAGCTAATCTCTCATGGACCGACTACGTAAACATAAATCGAGCATCTGACAGAATTACGTGAGATTTTAGTTCTGGGTTAACTCAGTTTACTACTAGAACACTATGATGGAACACCTGAGAGAGGATCAAGGTTTTATCACAATGCCATAATATAATACACCATGGTTGCTAAAGTGTGCTAAAAGTAAATTAGTACAGATATCAGTAGTCATATAGTACTGGTAGTCATGATGAAAGTTGTCTTGACAACACAAACGTGTGGTGTTGTCCTTCGTCAAAAGCACTTTGAACAGCATCTTATCTTCACTGTGCTTGTAAAACATGATAAATGTGTGATTTCAGGTCCCCTAGTATAGTTAACACACATCCAGACAACGTAAATTCAGCTATTTCACACATGTACAACATGTGTATTACTATGCATGTGTGAATTGGAAATGTGTTTTTTGCATATCCCAACTCTTCTTGAAACACCCTCAGGGAGTGGGGTCACAACCAGGGTCTGCCATTATTAACAGAAAACCTGGCGCAATTAGGGTTAGGTGCCTTGCCCAAGGGCACATCGACAGATATTTAATCTTGTTGGCTCGGGGGATTCGAACTAGCAACCCTTCGGTTTGCCGCCCTTTCCGCCAAACACTACGATACAGTAGGTACAGTTGAAGATGTACTCTAAACCTAAGTATGGGTGTTTAAGCCAAATGTATGGTGTGTTTCATAGCCCTGTGGCATGACTAAGGAAAGTACTTACTGGGAAGAACCGAAGTTCCATCCTCCGACAGCCAGCAGAGTCTTAAGATGAGGGTTCCTGCAGAGAGACGGCAAAGAAAGGCGGGTTTGAGATTATTCAGCAACTTTGGACATAAGTAAATTTGAAAATCTAAGCCTCTGTTTAAAACAAGCTCCAGTTCAGAGAAATTAATAACAACACCAATGAAATATCCCTGGACAATTGGGAAACTAAGTTCCTCATTCAACACCAACACTAATAAGTTGTGAAGCGAGCCACTTACTTGTTCTTCAAGGCGTTGAAGGACTTGTAGAGGACGTCATCGTTCCACTCGTAGGTGACCAGCTCGTTGCGGCTGTTGATGATGGAGAAAGCGTAGATCAGGTGAGTGCACAGGTGGGGGTCCACGTTCTCAGGCTTGTACTTCCCTTTGTCTGGTCTGTACTGAGACCAATTGGTGAAGTAGCACACCATCTTGGGAGAGGCTGCAGCTGCGGTGGAAACTGAGTTGGAAGCGCCCAACTGGCACAACACAAGGCACAAGCCTAGAGAGAGCGAGAGAGAGAGAGAGAGAGAGGTCAATACATAAGTAACTCACTAGGATAACTTTTATCTGCACTGATGTAATAGTGCAGTTTTGAAAGGCAAAGCAAATGTCTGTGTAAATAGCCAAAAAAAACATTTATGTCAAAGGGCAGTGATTGTGCCTGATGTAAACTGTGGATGAGTTGTATGTAGTCACCTGCTAAGATTGTCAGCTTAGACATCTTAACTTCTGTTTGATACGAGACAAAGAGAGAAAGAGAGAGAGAGAGATTTTCATCAATTAATCTTGAATCTGATATTAGTGATTACAGTTGGTATTTACAGTGGGTTATGCCAGCATGGAACTGATGCAAGGTGTCAAACATCAAACATTTACCTGCTCACTACAGCACAACATTAAAGTACCCACCACTAATATCGATCTCCCCATTATATAAATTAACCTGACCAACTGCACTGTGCATGGTACTGTCCTAAACAAAATGTTCTATACTATTGAAATAATAGCATTATATGTGTTCATTCACTGACTCTCATTAGTACATTTAGATACTTAGAATCTTTAGTAAACTAATTTAGCAATAGCATTAAAAGCAAAAGTGTCTAGCAACTAAAACAAAATAGCAACTAACATCAAAGGTTGATTCATCAAATTACACAATGAATCATTGGTCCAAATATGACGGAGGAAACTGTCAGCTCTCAGTTGTGAGTTTCCTTCCAAGCTTACCTTGGGAATTTCAACGATGAAAGAACCAATGATGAAGTTTGGTCTGTCTTTTTATATAGTTTATCCATGTGACCAAAGGGGAGGGGGGGGTTGATACAATTATTGCAATACGATCAGATAAGATAACTACAGAAGGGTCTGGACTGGGTGGAGATTTATTTATGGCAGGTGCATGCCAGGTAATGTACAGTTCTCAGCTGAGAAAGGCAAAACAAGACAGATTGTCAAGGTTGAGCATAGATGTGGTGTGGAATCAAGCGCAGGACACACAGAGGCTTCGTACTAACGTCTTTAGTGAAGACAACAAAAGAACAAGCCAACACGGCTAAATACAACCCGGCAGGCAAGCGAACTTTACGCACACCGGTAACAGTACAAAAGCGCACACTGTGCGGAACTCTCTACAAAACAATGCCGAGAGAATAAATGAACTAGCATCCCACGTTGACAACGAACAATTACACACAACACATGACAAAACCCAAGAGAACTTATAGGACACATAATTAACACTAACAAGGAACAGGTGTAACAAAACAGACCAAACCAAACAAACATCGAAACATAGAACGGTGGCAGCTAGTACTCGGGAGACGACGACCGCCGAAGCCTGCCCGAACAAGGAGAAGGAGCAGCCTCGGCCAAAACCGTGACACAGATAAGACACAGTGCCTATAGAAAGTCTACACACCCTTGAACTTTTTTTCAAATGTTGCTGTGTCATTGGCCATGTTTACACGGGTACATCATTCCGGATTATAGCTCATATCCCGCTTAAGGTCTTATTCGGGATAAGCTGTTTACATGCACCATTGATATCCCTCTCACGAGCTTCCCTGTTTCCATGAATAAACAAAATATTCTTAATTCTTAAGTTCATATGTGTTAAATGGAATGGTAACTGAAATATGGACACTGACTATAGTCCTATAACCTATCACATGTAGCCTAATATAATATTAATTCCTGCAGAATTATGCATTTTTGCAGTAAAATGATACAACAAATGTTAATTTTGTCTCGGGAACAGAAGTGGAGAAATATGATTACTTTCTTTCAGCATCTCTTGAGAAAATGTGAATATGTGTGTAACTGTTATCTTTGACACTGCTATGCAAGCAGACAGTATTTCAACCACATAAAATATGCACCCAATACAAACTGAAGTCTTATCAGAAACGTGTTTCATGGTTTTCTCAGCTATTCATTTCCTTAAAACCAGACAAACTGATGACACTTTGACATTTTGCACTGGAACAATCTTTCTACTGTTTAGAAATTATTGCGTTTTCTTCCCGGTGCCTAAACGAAACAGACAACTTTACCAGTGTTAACTAGATTACTAATGAGTTCATTCTATTGACGTAAACCATTATTCTGGTGAGTAATACTCTATTTAGTCTTCAAGTGCAACAAATTATGAAAGAAGAGACGTTGCATGTATCTAACTATAGTTGACAAACAAATGACCTACCATATGTCGGAAATTATAATATGGCATACCAAATGTAGAAGATTGGAATCAGAAATATATCTAAATTAGGGGTGAAAGTAGTCTAAACCAGTAGGCTATCCGGTCCAGTAATGAGTATCATCAAAATAAATTATGAAGGAATTATAAATAAAAGTAGCCTACTTTTTGAAGTGATTTGTTTGACAATCAGATGAAAACATCATCACACAACACCCATGATATGTGAAACTGAGCCTGTACAGATAATGAAAAACATCAGTAAACGGGATAAGATGTTACATTGGCACAGTATCCCGTCTAAGATCAGCATATACCAGGCATCTTATCCGGGTTTCTCATAACAGAGATACAAGGTTTTTCGGGTTATTGTGAACTGGAAATTATGTTTATATACAGTGGGGAGAACAAGTATTTGATACACTGCCGATTTTGCAGGTTTTCCTACTTACAAAGCATGTAGAGGTCTGTAATTTTTATCATAGGTACACTTCAACTGTGAGAGACGGAATCTAAAACAAAAATCCAGAAAATCACATTGTATGATTTTTAAGTAATTAATTTGCATTTTATTGCATGACATAAGTATTTGATACATCAGAAAAGCAGAACTTAATATTTGGTACAGAAACCTTTGTTTGCAAATACAGAGATCATACGTTTCCTGTAGGTCTTGACCAGGTTTGCACACACTGCAGCAGAGACTTTGGCCCACTCCTCCATACAAAGCTTCTCCAGATCCTTTAGGTTTCGGGGCTGTCGCTGGGCAATACGGACTTTCAGCTCCCTCCAAAGATTTTCTATTGGGTTCAGGTCTGGAGACTGGCTAGGCCACTCCAGGACCTTGAGATGCTTCTTACGGAGCCACTCCTTAGTTGCCCTGGCTGTGTGTTTCGGGTCGTTGTCATGCTGGAAGACCCAGCCACGACCCATCTTCAATGCTCTTACTGAGGGTTGTTGGCCAAGATCTCGCGATACATGGCCCCATCCATTCCTCCCCTCAATACGGTGCAGTCATCCTGTCCCCTTTGCAGAAAAGCATCCCCAAAGAATGATGTTTCCACCTCCATGCTTCACGGTTGGGATGGTGTTCTTGGGGTTGTACTCATCCTTCTTCTTCCTCCAAACACGGCGAGTGGAGTTTAGACCAAAAAGCTATATTTTTGTCTCATCAGACCACATGACCTTCTCCCATTCCTCCTCTGGATCATCCAGATGGTCATTGGCAAACTTCAGACGGGACATGCGCTGGCTTGAGCAGGGGGACCTTGCGTGCGCTGCAGGATTTTAATCCATGACGGCGTAGTGTGTTACTAATGGTTTTCTTTGAGACTGTGGTCCCAGCTCTCTTCAGGTCATTGACCAGGTCCTGCCATGTAGTTCTGAGCTGATCCCTGACCTTCTTCATGATCATTGATGCCCCACGAGGTGAGATATTGCATGGAGCCCCAGACCGAGGGTGATTGACCGTCATCTTGAACTTCTTCCATTTTCTAATAATTGCGCCAACAGTTGTTGCCTTCTCACCAAGCTGCTTGCCTATTGTCCTGTAGCCCATCCCAGCCTTGTGCAGGTCTACAATTTTATCCCTGATGTCCTTACACAGCTCTCTCGTCTTGGCCATTGTGGAGAGGTTGGAGTCTGTTTGATTGAGTGTGTGGACAGGTGACTTTTATACAGGTAACGAGTTCAAACAGGTGCAGTTAATACAGGTAATGAGTGGAGAACAGGAGGGCTTCTTAAAGAAAAACTAACAGGTATGTGAGAGCCGGAATTCTTACTGGTTGGTAGGTGATCAAAAACTTATGTCATGCAATAAAATGCAAATTAATTACTTAAAATCATACAATGTGATTTTCTGGATTTTTGTTTTAGATTCCGTCTCTCACAGTTGAAGTGTACATATGATAAAAATTACAGACCTCTAAATGCTTGTAAGTAGGAAAACCTGCAAAATCGGCAGTGTATCAAATACTTGTTCTCCCCACTGTACATCAACTCAAAAACAGAATACTGGAGTATCCCGAATAATAAGAGGATATTGGTGTGCATGTAAACATACATGGTCCGTGTGTCAGAGTTTCCTGCATTTAAATAAGGATTTCCCCCCCCACTTATCTACATACCATACTCAAATCAAAAATCTAATTTTTATTTGCCACATGCGCCGAATACAACAGGTGTAGACATTACCGTGAAATGCTTATTTACAGCCCTTAACCAACAATAAATTTATTTTTTAATAAAAAAGTAAAATATAACAACAAAAACAAAAAAGTGTTGAGAAAAAAAGAGCAGAAGTAAAATAAAATAACAGTATGGAGGCTATATACAGGGGGGTACCGGTGCAGAGTCAAAGTTCGGGGGCACCGGCTAGTTGAGGTAGTTGAGGTAATATGTACATGTGGGTAGAGTTAAAGTGACCATGCATAAATCATTAACAGAGTAACAGCAGCGTAAAAAGATGGGGTGGGGGGGGCAGTGCAAATAGTCCGGGTAGCCATGATTAGCTGTTCAGGAGTCTTATGGCTTGGGGGTAGAAGCTGTTGAGAAGCCTTTTGGAGCTAGACTTGGCGCACCGGTACCGCTTGCCGTGCGGTAGCAGAGAGAACAGTCTATGACTAGGGTGGCTGGAGTCTTTGACAATTTTGAGGGCATTCCTCTGACACCGCCTGGTATAGAGGTCCTGGATGGCAGGAAGCTTGGCCCCAGTGATGTACTGGGCCGTACGCACTACCCTCTGTAGTGCTTTGTGGTCGGAGGCTGAGCAGTTAACATGCCAGGCGGTGATGCAACCAGTCAGGATGCTCTCGATGGTGCAGCTGTAGAACTTTTTGAGGATCTGAGGACCCATGCCAAATCTTTTCAGTCTCCTAAGGGGGAATAGGCTTTGTCGTGCCCTCTTCACTACTGTCTTGGTGTGTTTGGACCATGATAGTTCGTTGGAGATGTGGACACCAAGGAACTTGAAACTCTCAACCTGTTCCACTACAGCCCCGTCGATGAGAATGGGGGCACAATCATCTCCTTTGTCTTGGTCACGTTGAGGGAGAGGTTGTTATCCTGGCACAACACGGCCAGGTCTCTGACAAACTTAATGATGGTGTTGGAGTCGTGCCTGGCCATGCAGTCATGGGTGAACAGGGAGTACAGGAGGGGACTGAGCACGCACCCCTGCGGGGCCCCCGTGTTGAGGATCAACGTGGCAGATGTGTTGTTACCTACCCTTACCACCTGGGGGCGGCCCGTCAGGAAGTCCAGGATCCAGTTTCAGAGGGAGGTGTTTAGTCCCAGGATCCTTAGCTTAGTGATGAGCTTTGAGGGCACTATGGTGTTGAATGCTGAGCTGTAGTCAATGAATAGCATTCTCACGTAGGTGTTCCTCTTGTCCAGGTGGGAAAGGGTAGTGTGGAGTGCAATAGAGATTGCATCAACTGTGGATCTGTTGGGGCGGTATGCACATTGGAGTGGGTCTAGGGTTTCTGGGATAATGGTGTTGATGTGAGCCATGACCAGCCTTTCAAAGCATTACATGGCTACAGACGTCAGTGCTACGGGTCGGTAGTCATTTAGGCAGGTTA